AGGAGGAGGAGGAGGAGGAGGCGGCACGTCTCCGAGGACTACCTCAACTTTCGGTACTGGGACAAGCGCGCGGCATACGTCGGCGAGGTGCGCCGCCAGCTGGCGAAGGCTCCGGGGCAATTCGCGGGAGGGGGGGGGGCAGCGCTGAGAGTTCGAGGGTCGGGCCCTCAAGGCTTTCCGGCGTTGTCGTCTGCCCTCGGCGGCTTTCCGGCCTTCGGGGTGCGCTCCAGCAGCGGTGCCTCGCCGAGGGCGTTCCGGGGAGGTCCGGATCGTCCAGAGCAGCCGCCGGAGGCCCGAGTTAGATCCCGAAAACGACAAAAAGGACGGGGGTGGGGTCAGGGGAGAGCGCATCGACCTCCCATCCCCCACTCATCGCCGACGGGGGCCCGATAACTCACCCCGCCCAGGAGCGTGCGGATTCGCTATCGGGGGCCATCGCCGACCCAACGCTGATGCATCGCAGATTCCAGCTCGATTTCCCCTTCCTAAACCCAGACATCCAATGTTTTGAACTTTTCAGTGTGTGGTCCGTGGCAGTCCCAGCCCTTTCCCCAGGGCCCGTTTTTCCTCCCGAGTCGTTTTTTGGAGCCTGGCGAGGGCCCCCGGAGGCCGAAGACGATCAGAGGCCTTCCGTTGTGAATTGGTCACGACGCGAGCACGCCTTGGATCGGAGGGAGGAGAAGCGATACCGACACCACCAGGGGGCCTACCTTCAGCGAGGAGGTCCACGAGGCCTCCCCGAGCTGGAGGCTGGGGCTGTCTCGAGCGAGAGAGGGGGGGACCACACCCCCAGGGAGACGGGAGACCCTCCCCCCTGCCTCCTCGCGCCTCCTCGCCCCGGTGGCGTCGGCGCCGCCTTCCCGCGTTCCTGCTCGGAGCGCCGCCTCGCCGCAGGCGCAGGGCAATGGCGGGCCCCTGGCGGGCGTGGCGCTGCTCTTCGAGGCGCTCCACGGCGACCCGTGCCGGCCGTGCCTCCTGCTGCGGCCGCGGGGCGACGCGGGCGGCGGCGCGGCGCCCTGGGTGGTGCGGCTGCTGCCGGCCTGTCCCGCGGAGCTCTTCCCGGCGCCGAAGCTGGCGCCCAATAGGATCCCGCCGAAGCTGACGATAACGACGACGACGACGGCGATGGCGACGACGACGACGACGACGACGACGACGACGACGACGACGACGACGACGACGACGGCGGTGGCGGCGGCGGCGGCGGCGGCGGCGACGACGACGACGACGACGACGACGACGACGACGGCGGCGACGACGGCGGCGGCGATGACGACGTCGACGACGACGACCCGGGTTGTCGAAGGCCAGGCCGGCAGATTGGATTTGGGTTCTGGGGCCGATCGGGCATCGGTCTCTTGTGAATTCCCATACGGCGCCAGTCCCGCGCAGCCCGGTCGGACGCCGACTTTTCAATCAGATCTTCTCGCCGCCGTCTTCTTTCGCGTTTACTATTTGCGGCCGTCTGGCTAAACCAATCATGACAATCCCAACTGAAAAGTGAATCATCGCATCAACATCATCACGTCATTATTATCATCATCGTCGTCACTGCGCCCATTTTGGCACACCCCTCACACTGTTGGTGGCCACATCCGGGGCCCAGCCGAAGGCCCCAATTGGAGGGTCCGCATGGCGCCGCCGCACCAAATTCGGCGCGGCGCACCCCTCACGCAGTTTAAGTCTGGCATGTCCCTCTACAGGGAAACTATTCAAAAATAGTCAACTAATAGTCTGGGGACTATTTTTTGAGTATTTGTTTGACCATTTTAGGGTATTGTTTGATTTTTTTCCCCAAACAGCTTGCTGAACAGGGTGCTGTTGTGATAGAAGCTAACTCCGGCCGAGGGAAGTCGGAGCAGAGACATTTTCACAAAAATTTGATGGTCCGGGCCGTTTCGCTTGAGACATCCTCACAATTCTCGTTTCTGAGTTGGCCGGGATTGGCCGTTTCGCCTGAGACATCCTCGAAAAGTTGCGCCCCGCGACGCCGCGCGAGAGGTGGTCCAGGCCGTTTCGTTTGAGACATCCTCGAAACTCTGAGCCCCGAGGTGCCGTGCGAGAGGTGGTCCGGGCCGTTTCGCCTGAGACATCCTCGAAACTCTGAGCTCTGAGATGCCTTGCGCGAGGTGGTCCAGCCCGTTTCGCCTGATACATCCTCGAAACTCTCCTCGGAGATGCCGCGCGAGAGGTGGTCTGGCCCGTTTCGCCTGAGACATCCTCGAACTTCTGAGCTCTGAGATGCCTTGCGCGAGGTGGTCCGGCCCGTCTCGCCTGAGACATCCTCGCAACTCTGAGCTCTGAAATGCCGTGCGCAAGGTGGTTTGGCCTGTTTCGCACAAGACATTTTCACAACTCTGAGCTCCCAGATGCCGCGCAAGAGGTGGCCCAGCCTGGGGGCTCAGAAGACCACATGTACATATCCTCCCTGGGACCCTGGGAGCCCGCCTAAGACATCCTCGAACTTCTGAGCTCTGAGACCTGCGCGAGGTGGTCCGGCCCGTTTCGCACAAGACGTTCTCGCAACTCTGAGCTCTGAGATGCCGTGCGCAAGGTGGTCCGGCCTGTTTCGCACAAGACATTCTCGCAACTCTGAGCTCCCAGATGCCGCGCAAGAGGTGGTCCAGCCAGGGGCCCAGAAGACCACATGTTGCATATCCTCCTTGGGACCCTGGGAGCCCCAGGAGGCCCCAGAGAGCTCCAGGAGGCCGCAGGACGCCCAGGACAGGCCCCAGTGGTCCGCAGGAGATTCCCAGGAGGCTCCCAGGAGGCCCCAGGAGTGTCAATTTAATACACATCCGGTGTCGATTCGTTGATTTTTCCTGCTCTTGTGGCCCCCCCTTTTATTTTGAGGGGCCCAAGCGGCCACAGGTTAGATATCCCCCCTGGGAGCCCAAGAGGCTTCAGGAAACCCCAGGTGGAGTTCAGGAGGCCACAGGAGGCCCAGGAGGAAGCACCAGGAGGTCCCCAGGAGGCCCCAGGAGGCACCAGGAGGCCCGCGCAACTCGGAGCTCTGAGACGCCGCGCTCGAGGTGGTCCGGCCCGTTTCGTCTGAGACTTCCTCGCAGCACGTTTCGCCCGAGACACCCGCCCGTCTCGCCTGAGACATCCTTGCAACTCTGAGCTCTGAGATGCTGTGCGCAAGTTGGTCCTGCCCGTTTCGCACAAGACATTCTCGCAACTCTGAGCTCCCAGATGCCGCGCAAGAGGTGGTCCAGCCTGGGAGCCCAGAAGACCACATGTTACATATCCCCCCTGGGACTTTGGGAGCCCCAGGAGGCCCCAGAGAGGCCGCAGGACGCCCAGGACAGGCCCCAGGGGTCCGCAGGAGATTCCCAGGAGGCTCCCAGGAGGCCCCAGGAGGCCCCCTATAAGAACGTGCCAATTTAATACACATCCGGTGTCGATTCGTTGATTTTTCCTGCTCTTGTGGCCCCCCCATTTGGGGGGGGCCCGACGGCCACATGTTAGATATCCCCCCCTGGGAGCCCCAAGAGGCTTCAGGAAGCCCCAGGTGGGGTCCAGGAGGCCACAGGAGGCCCAGGAGGAAGCCCCAGGAGGTCACCAGGAGGTCCCAGGAGGCCCCAGGAGGCCCCCGCAACTCGGAGCTCTGAGACGCCGCGCTCGAGGTGGTCCGGCCCGTTTCGCCTGAGACTTCCTCGCAGCACGTTTCGCCCGAGACATCGTCGCAACTCTGGGGTCCGAGATGCCGCGCGCGAGGTGGTCCAGCCCGTTACGCTGGAGACATCCTCGCAACTCTGGGATCCGAGATGCCGTTCGGGATGAAGAGGAGGTGGATGAGGAGGAGGAGGAGGAGGAGGAGGAGGAGGAGGAGGAGGAGGAGGAGGAGGCATGTTTTAACATGCCATGCCAGCCCGCACTGGACGGGCACGCAATCGGCCTTGGAAACCGCAGTGGGTCTAAAAACCTTGTTTGGGGATACTGCACCCGGCTATACTTATTTTTCTTCCAAAATCCCCCTATAGGAGGACAGGCCCGACTTAACACGCGGCTCGTGGTTCCATTGGGAATTCCGCGGAAGGCCCGTGTGGGAGGACGCGCCAGGCGCCTCCGCGCTCACTTCGGCGCGCCCCTCCCGCGGCTCGTGGTTCGATTTTGGAATTCCATCGAGGGTCCAAAATGGGCCTGGCATCGCTCGGACGTGTGCATTTTCCTCGGCGGGGATTTTTAAGGAGCATCCTGGATTATTAAGGAGCATCCTGGATCGTCGTCGTCCGTCGTCTCCCCTCTCGCCGCTGGGCTCCGCTGCGATGGTAAACAAATAGTGGGTCCGCACGGTGCCTCCCAGCAGTGTTAAGTGGCGTTGTCCTTGGCCCCCTGCAGGCCGCGGGTATGCCATGGTCAGGTCAATGGGCAGCCCGTGGTTCGAGCGTCGGGGGGCCCCGGGAAAGGCCGCGGAGGGGCCGCGGACATGCCGTGGGCGCCCTAGGGAATGCACGCCATGAGCAGGCCAGGAGAAGGCATTGGGTAGCCCTTGGGCCGCGAGGTGGCCACGGGAAGGCGGTTGGCAGGCAGCGGGTTTGATGCAGTTGGGTTGGCAGTGGAGGAGCCACGGGCTAACCTTCTGCAGCCCTTGTCGGGGAGAGGAGAAGCGACACCAACATCACCAGGGGGCCCACTTCCAGCGAGGAGGTCCACGATGCCCTCCGAGCTGGAGGCAGGGGATGTCTCGAGCGAGAGGGGGGGACCACACCACCAGGGAGACCCCCCTTGCCTCCTCGCATCTCCTCGCCCTGGTGGTGTAGGTGTCGCCTTTCCTTGCTCCTACCCTGGGCCGGACTTGGATGGCCCTTTGGGTAGGCCTGGCGCGTTCCATGGGTAAGCCTTGGGCGGCCCACGGATCGGCAGACGGAAAGTCATGGGCAGGCCATGAGTGAGCCACGGGTGGGCGCGAGGGCCCAGTACCATGAACAGGGCAGGCTGAGTGTAGACATTCTTCCACTCATGTGTACAGTCTGAGTTGATTCGTATGCCGCGGTGGGCTATGGGCAATAGCAACAGCTACCGATCGCCTGCCGCAGGCCTACCCTAGGCCAAAGGTAGGCCATGGTCTGGCCCCCCCCCCCGCTCCCCCTCAGCGGAAAGGGTGCGCTGCGCGTCTCGTAGCCGACTGCCCTTGCGCGTTCGCCCGCGGTGACTCCGCGGAGAAGGTCGCGGGGCGCGGGGTCGATGCCGCGCCGCGTTGCCTCGGGCCGCTCTGCCGCGGGAGGGTGGCCTGCGCGTTCTCCCGTTGCTGGTGTCCGCGGCTGCGCCCTGGTTCTGAGGTCCCCTGCCACGGCGACAGGTCGCGTTGCCGCCGGAGAGTGTTTTTTTTCGCGTGGACTCCCGCTTCTGCGAGGCCTGCGGCCGCGCCCGGGCTCTTTTGTGGCCCGCTGCCGCGCCGACAGCGCGCGCGCTCGCCACCCGGAAGGGGGGGGGCGGCGGGGCGCGGGCGGCGCGCCGTGCTCCTCCTTGTCCGCGCGGTGGGTGGCGCGGCCAGTTGGGCACCCTGGGTGTCCTCTCGGGTGTCCTGCTGCTGCTGCTTTTGCTTCTCCTCTTGCTCTCCCCCCCCTTGCTGCTCTCCTCTCTCCTCCTTAGCCAAGGGGCGACCTTCTCGCGCAGGTAAAAAAAAGTGCGCCCCCCTTCGCGAGGCTGCGGGTCGGCGGTGCGGAGGCGCGAGATCTCAGCGAGTGCGGACCGTGCGGCAGCCTGAGCAAGACTGCAGCGCAGTCCAGACCTGAAGATCCGCTTGCGCGTCGGGTGGGGGTGCCCGCCAGATGGGCTTGTCAGGGCATCCTGGAGGCATGCTGCACCAGATTGCCAGCTGGGACACTTCACCGGATTGGCCTGTTTGGTTTTAGGGCCAGACTGCCAGATTGGAATGTTGGACGGCTTCGGTGCTTTCTTCCCCAAGGGTTGCGCCATAATCTTTGTTTAAACAGGTCGCCAGATTGGGCAATGTGCCAGGTTGGTTTTCAAATAATACATTTATAGTACATCAGAGACAAGCCCAATCAGTGCATGGTTGGAACAATAGTGGATATTGAGATCGATTGTGAGATCGATCGTGACATCGATCGTGTCATCGATCGTGAGGACGATCGTAAGATCGATCGTGGGACCGATAGTGAAGTCGATCCAATGGCATCGATAGTGAGATCGTTCGTGACATCGCTCGTGCGATCTATGGTGAGATCGACTGCGAGAACGATAGTGAGATCGATTGTGACATCGATAGTGCGATCGGTAGAGCGGTGGCATCGATAAGGAGATCGACCAAACACCTGGGAACATGGCAATCCGGGAACCCCGCCGCCCACCAGAATCGAACAGCGGCCCAGAACCAGCAACTGGGAACCGAGGAACCCAGAACTGGGGACCTGGGAACCCAGCGGCCTACCGAGATCGGCCGGGCAATTTCTGCAAGTCTTCCAGCCTCCGCTGGGACCCCTTCAGTGGACTAATTGGGAAAATAGGAATGAACATATATACATATATATAAATATATAAATACATATACAAATACGCATACAGGATTGTCAAACTTATAGGTGTCTATGATGCTGGGGCCGTTTATCATATTAATCATATTGGAGTTTGTTCTTGTTGGCCAGGTTGGATGTGATTGATTCCCTCGCTAGATTGCCAGACTAGACCCGGCAATTTGGCGCCAAATTGGCTTCGACTACCCAGACGACGACTACGACGACGACGACGACCGATGAAGACGACCGACCGACCGACCGACCGACGACGACGACGATGCCGACGGCGACGACGACCGACGACGCCGACGACGACGATGACCGACGACCGACGACCGACGACGACCGACCGACCGACCCACCCATCCACCCACCCACCCACCCACCTTCCGACCCACCCACCGACGACGACGACGACAATGACGACGACGACAGACGACGAAGACGACGACCGACGACGACCGACCCACCCACCCACCCAACCACCCACCCACCCACCCACCTATCCACCCACCCACCGACGACGACGACAATGACGACGACGACGACGACGGACGACGTTGACGACCGACGACGACCGACGACGACCGACGACGACGACGACGCCGACGACGACGACGAGCACGACGACTACGACGACCAACAACCAGGAAGACGACAATGACGACGACGACGGACAACGACGACGACCAACAACGACAACGACGACGACGACGCCGAGGACGACGACGACGACCACGACGACGACGACGACGACGGCGACGACAACGACGACGACGACGGCGGTGGCGACGACGACGACGACGCCGACGACGACGGCGGCGGCGACGACGACGGTGGCGTCGACGACGACGACGGCGACGACGGAGGCGACGACGAAGACGGCGACGACGACGACGGTGGCGACGACGGTGGCGTCGACGACGACGGCGACGACCAGTCCCCGATGCAGGAACTCGGTGCGCCCCGCGGAGGGCTCCGCGGCGGCGGCCGCAGCGCCGCCTCCGACCGCGCACTACAACAGCTGCATCCTCGAGGACGCCCGCATGCGGACGTGCCTGGAGTACCTGCATAGGGCGCTGCAGCGCTTCCCCTCGCTGCGGGACGCCGTCCTGTTGCTGAAGAGGTGCCGGCATCGCCCCCAGACCTCCAACGTTTGGAGAATTCAGCGCGCCGGTGTTTCGTAGTAATCGGCCTCTGGGGGGTCCCCGCCTGGCCCACGCGCCCGTCAAAAGACGACTCCGGATGAAGAGCTGGTCTTAGGGGAACAGGTCGAGATCTCCAGGGATCTCGCACGGAAAAGCAAATACATGGGATTTCTGTGCCTTCTGACCTGTCCCCATCCCCTCCAAGCCGTGGTATCTCGGTCCCTTCGGCCCGCTCTCCTGCACGCAGGCGGGGTGTGGGCCCCGAGGAGCAGGAAGGAGCAGGCATACCTCGCCACCCGGGTGGGTAAGTCGGCCAGTTGGGCTAAGCCAACGCCAGTGGGGAGCATTGGCATCGCTCGGGCGTGTGCGGCGAGGGCCACCGAAGAGCATCCTGGATCATCGAGCAGCAGGAAAAACACGCACGAAACCGAAAAATGCACGGGGAATGGTGAGCGTTTTTGTTTATTCATTGCTTTGCCGATCGGCGCCGGCCCGAAATCCCCCCTCCCGCCCGATGGAGCAGATTTTGGCTGTTTTGTGGCGCCTGTTTCGAGCGGGCGGAGTCTCCCCCAGAGGCCACACTCTTGCAAACACTCGCACTGCATAAGCAGAGGTCTGGAGCCAGACCCCGCCCTCCCCCCCAACCTTGCCGCCCAATGTCGACACGCCGAATAAAAAATAACGCTCACGTGGACGTGCCAGCGGCGGCAAGGAGTGCGGGGGGCGTCGGTGAAGCCTTGCTCGAGGTGGGCGTGGGCGCGGAGCTTCCTGGCCCAGCAGCCCGGCGCCCCGCCGCGCGCCGGCGGCGGCTCGGCGGTCTTCACGCCCTTGAGCGGCTTCTGCCTCTCCGTGCTGGCGGCGCACGCGGCGCAGACGGCCAGCGTGGCTCCCACGGAGACGTCCTCCTTCCAGCTCTTCAAGCTCGCCCTGAGCGTGCTGGCGTCCGTCGACTGGGCGTCGCAGAAGCTGGTGCTCGGCGCCGCGGCGCCGCGCGCGCTGGCCGCCGAGGAGCGCTCCGCCGGCGGCGCCGGCTTCTTCGACGCGGACGGCGTCCTCAACTTCTTCTGGCGCCTCGGCCCCTTCATCGCCGAGGTGCAGCGGGAGGCCCAGCGCGCCCTGAAGCTCCTGGACGCGGAGGCCGACCCGTACGACGCGGTCTTCGGCCAGCGCGTGAGCCCGGAGCTCCTCTGGGACTGCGTGGTGCGGGCGCCGCCCCTGGGCAGCGGGGCCGCGACGCCCGCGCTGGCGGGCCCCTCGCCGCCGCACACGGTGGATCGGAGGAAGGGGAGGCGGCGCCCCTGCCCCCGCTTGTTGGGGCCACCTCCGGCGAGGACCCTCCCCGGCGCCCCGCGCTGGTGGTGGTGGCGGTGGTGGTGGTGGTGGTGCTGCTGCTGCCTTTCTTTATCCCTGCGGTGGTGGTGGCGGTGGTGGTGGCGGTGGTGGTGGCGGTGGTGCTGCTGCTGCTGGTGGTGGCGGTGGTGGTGGCGGTGGTGGTGGTGGTGCTGGTGCTGGTGGTGGTGGCGGTGGTGGTGGTGGTGGCGGTGGTGGTGGTGGTGGTGGTGGTTGCAGTGGTGGCGGTGGTGGTGCTGCTGCCTTTCTTTGTCCCTGCGTGCCGTCCGCAGAAGGCATCGATGCTCCACCACGCGTGCCCGGCCAGGGCCACCCCTGCACCCACGATGGCGCACAGCGGGCATTTGAGAGAACGCCCACCCAGACGGGTCGACCGAGGATGCCTGCACCGCTTCACGCGACAATGGCAGTCGTGTGTGCCGGTGTAGTCCCCCGTCGGTTCCGCCCATCGTCGTGCGCTTCGCTGCATGCCTTTGGTTGCGTCATGCATTTGGTAACTTCTGGACGTCGATGAGCTGTACCACTCTTGGGTCCACTCGAAGGCCAGTGCCGTGCGCACGCGGAGTGCACCTGGCAGCTCTCACCGAAGGGCGTTCTGCAAGAAAGGGTGCTCAGGCCCTCCCGCACTCGGCGGGGCGGCGTGTCCTGTGCACCGTCTGTGCCGCGGCCCTGGATGGCGCTGGCCCGGCACGGCGGTGCTTCGAGGATCAGGCAGCGGGGGCTTCCAGAGATCCGAGGGTCTGGCTTGTTCGAGCCGGCGTTTTTTCGTGGGCTTCGGCCTCCGGGGCCCGTCATCGGGCCTGGGGACCATCAAACATGAGTCCGGGACGAAAAAACACCCACGGGGAAGGGGTCGGGACCTCTGGGGGCCGCGGATGGAAGAGATCAGATCGGCGGATGTCTGGGGATTCGGTGGGATCGAGGTATAAGACCGATGTCGGCTCGTGGAGGGTACCCTGATGCTCTGCGTGCTTGTTGACTGCTCTTGTGCATCCTCGGGGAGGGTATACCGTCGAACGTTCTTCATTTTGGGCCAGCGGAGGGTCTCATGTCCTTGAAGGTTGTTCTTCTGTCCTTGGTCCGGCTGTAAGCACACTTTCTCGAAGATCCGCGCGGATCTCTCGGATTGGCGCTGAGCCCCCCTGGCGGCGCCTCTGGAGCGCTCCGCGCGCCAGGGAGGGGGGTCCAGCGCCGATCCGAGACAGCCGTGCGGACCTCCGAGAAATTTCGGTGGGAGCGTTCGTCAAGGGGCGTGCCCAGGAAGCTTCAGACCCTGGAGGAGTCCTTCTCCGATGAGGGCGGCGGTGATAGCCATGGTCAGAGCTCCAATTGGCATTCATCGGGCTACCAGACCCTGGACTCCGTATCCAAGGGTTCCTGATCCAATACTCACGCTGTCTGTTTGTACCGTGCTTTGCTCCTGTGGTGGTGGCATTTGTTGCTCCTCTTGGAGGTCTCTCGGGCAGTCCCGGTACCATCTTAGAGGCCTTTTGGGCCCATCTCGGAGGCTGCTCTGTGGCCGCCACGGGGCCCCGAGAGTCGAAACTGGCGAAGACGCGAACAGAATGCACACGCCCCAAGGAGCTCAAGGTTTCTGGCCCTCCAGGGGTTCTCTTGGGGGGTCATCCCCTGAGAATTCGACGCTGCAGAACAATTGCAACATCGCAAAAAATCATCACTGGAGCCCCAGACCCCATCCTTCTGTGGCATTTGGGAGGCCGCGTAATGGGGGGGGCGATAAATGGGGGGGGCGGCGAGGGCTGCCGAAAAGGGGCCCTTTAAGGCCCCTAGAGGGGCCTGTTGGGGCCCCAGAGGGGGCCTTGAGGGCCCGCCCAGAGGGGGCCTTGAGGGCCCGAAAGACGACACCTGTCTTCCCCCTCCTTGATCGCCCCCCCGTTCCTTCGCACCCAGAAGGCGCCCGTCGAGAAAAAAAAACTTGCAGAGCGCCAGGATCTCCGGGCCTGGCCAGGCGCGGCCTTGTGGTGCATGCTGCAGAGGTGGGGGCTCTCCCCGGGCCGGTGGGGGAGGGGGGAGGGAGGAGGAGGAGGAGGAGGAGGAGGAGGAGGAGGAGGAGGAGGAGGAGGAGGAGGAGGAGGAGGAGGAGGAGGAGGAGGAGGAGGAGGAGGAGGAGGAGGAGGAGGAGGAGGAGGAGGAGGAGGAGGAGGAGGAGGAGGAGGAGGAGGAGGAGGCGGAGGCGGAGGCGGAGGAGGAGGAGGAGGAGGAGGAGGGAGGAGGAGGAGGAGGAGGAGCAGGAGGAGGAGGAGGAGGAGGAGGAGGAGAGGAGGAGGAGGAGGAGGAGGAGGCGGAGGCGGAGCGGAGGCGGAGGCGGAGGCGGAGGCGGAGGCGGAGGCGGAGGCGGAGGCGGAGGCGGAGGCGGAGGCGGAGGCGGAGGCGGAGGCGGAGGGAGGAGGAGGAGGAGGAGGAGGAGGAGGAGGAGGAGGAGGAGGAGGAGGAGGAGGAGGAGGAGGGGCGCGCCACCTCTGCGCGCAGGTGGCGGGCCCGCCGCCCCCCGCGGACGCGTGCGCGGCGCTCGCGTTGGCCGCCAGGCTGCCTGCGGTGCTGGCGGCGGGGCTCGGGGACCGGGCCCTGCAGGTCGCCGTGCGCCTTCGTCGGCGGCGACGACGAGGAGGACCACGACGACCGTGACGACGACGAGAAGGACGATGACAACGACGAGGACGAGGACGACAGCGGCAAGGACGAGGACGAGAACGAGGGCGACGACGACGACAAGGACGACGTCGACGACGCGGACAAGGACGACGACGACGTGGACGAGGACGAGGCCGACGACGAAGTTGAGGAGTTGAAGGAGGAGACGGACGACGGCCACGATGACCGACGATGGCCACGACGACGACGAAGAGCACGACGAGGAAGAGGACGGGGACGACGAGCACGACCACGACGACCACGACAACAACGACGACCACGACGACGAGGACGACCACGACGACTGGGATGAGGACGACGACGACGAGGAGTAAGAGGATGAGGAGGACGACGACGACCACGACGACCACGACGACGACGGCCACGACGACGAGGACGGCCACGACGACGACGACGACGAGTAGGACGAGGACGAGGACATCGACGACGACGAGGAGGACGACACCGTCGACGACGACGACAACGACGACGACCACGACCACGACGACCACGACGACGAAGACGACGACGACTACAACGAGGAGGACGACCACGACGGGGATGAGGAAGACGACGACGACTACGAGGAGTAGGAGGATGAGGAGGACGACGACGACGACGACTACGACGACCACAATGACAACGACCATGATGGCGGCGACGACCACGACGACGACGAGGAGGACGAGGACGAGGACGTCGACGACGACTCCGACTACGATACCGTCGACGACGACGACGACCACGACGACGACGACGGCGACGACCACGACGATGACGATACCGACAGCGACGACGACGCCGAGGACGAGGACGACGATGACGAGGACGACGACGACGAGGACGACCATGACGCGGACGACGGCGACTCCGACGACGACGAGGACGACATTACGACGAGGACGAGGACGTCGACCGCGACGACGACAGGTTCGACGACGATGACGACGACCACGACGACGACGACGACGAGGACGAGGACGACGACGAGGACGACGACGACGACGAGCACGAGGACGACGACGACGAGGACGACGACGAGGACGACCACGACGCGGACGAGGACGACCACGACGACGAGGAAGAGGAGGACGAGGACGACGACCAGACGACGACGGCCACGACGAGGGCGACGACCACCACGACGACGACGACGACAACGACGAGGGCGACCACGACTACGACGACGACGATCACGACGACGACGAGGACGACCATGAGGAGGACGAAGGATGAGGACGATGACGACGACCACGACGACGACGACGTCGGCCACGACGAGGACCACGACGACCACGACGACGACGACCTCGACGACCACGGCGACGAGCACGACGACGAGCACGACGACGACGAGGAGGACGACGAGGACGACAAGGACAAGGACGAGCGCGACGACCACGACGACAACGAGGAGGACCACGACAAGGATGACGAGGACGACGAGGACGACGAGGACGACGAGGACGACGACCACGACTACGGCGAGGAGGAGGACGACGACGACGACCACGAGGACCCTGGGACAACGACGTCGACGACGACGACGACCGCCACGACGACGACGATCGCAACGACGACAACTAGGACTACGACGGTGACGACGACGAGGAGGACGACGAGGACAACGGCCCGACGACGACGAAGAGGAGGACGTGGAGGACGACGAAGACCACGACGACGACGAGGGGGACGACGACGACCACGATGACCACGATGACGACCACAGCGACGGCGACGACGACGACGAGGACGACGACCATGACCACGACGACGACCACCACGACGATCACGACCACCGGAAACGAAGACGACGAAGTTACGACGATGACGACGATTACCCAGACAAGGAGGAAGAGGAGGAGGAGGAGATGGAGAAAGAGGAGGACGACGACGACGATGACGACGACGACCATGACGACCACGACAACGACGGTCACGAAGACGACGACGAGGAGCCGGAGGAGGAGGAAGAGGAGGAGGAAGAGTAGGACGACGACGACGACGACCACCACGATCACGACGACCACGACGAGGACAGCGACGACGACGACGACGACGGCGACGACGACGAAGAGGACGACGAGGATGACTGCCCGACGACGACGAAGAGGAGGACGTTGAGGACGACGAAGACCACGACGACGACGAGAAGACGACGACGACCACGACGACCATGATGACGACCATAGCGACGGCGACGACGACGACGAGGACGACGACAACGACGACAACCACCACGACGATCACGACCACCGGAAACGACGACGACGACATTACGACGATGACGACGATTACCCAGACAAGGAGGATGAGGAGGAGGAGGAGGAGGAGGAGGAGATGGAGAAAGACGAGGACGACGACGATGACGACGACGACCATGACGACCACGACAACGACGATCACGAAGACGACGACGAGGAGCCGGAGGAGCAGGAAGAGGAGGAGGAAGAGTAGGGCGACGACGACGATTACGATCACGACGACCACCACGAGGATAACGACGATGATTCGACGACGCCGAGGAGGACGACGAGGACGACGGCCCGACCACGACGAAGAGGAGGACGTCGAGGACGACGAAGACCATGACGACGATCACGACCACCGGAAACGACGACGACGACATTACGACGATGACGACGATTACCCAGACAAGGAGGAGGAGGAGGAGATGAAGAAAGACGATGACGACGACGACGATGACGACGACGACCATGACGACCACGACAACGACGATCACGAAGACGACGACGAGGAGCCGGAGGAGGAGGAAGAGGAGGAGGAAGAGTAGGGCGACGACGACGATTACGATCACGACGACCACCACGAGGACAACGACGATGACGACGACGCCGAGGAGGACGACGAGGATGACGGCCCGACGACGACGAAGAGGAGGACGTGGAGGACGACGAAGACCATGACGACGAGGAGGACGACGACGACCACGACGACCACGATGACGACGATCGCGACGGCGACGACGACGACGAGGACGACGACCACGACAACGACGACGACCACCCCGACGATCACGACCACCGGAAACGACGACGACGACAATTGCAACGATGACGACGATTACCCAGACCATGAGAAGGAGGAGGAAGAGGAGGAGGAGGAGGAGTAGGAGGACAACGACGACGATGACGACGACGACCTTCACGACCACGACCGCGACGACGACGACGACAATCACGACGACGGGAGGGCGACGACGACCACGACGACGACGTCGACGCTCCGTAACCATTGTTTGGCGCAAGCGGCTTGGTCTGGTTGAGGCCCCTTTGTTCTGCCCCGCAGGATTCTGTAGCTTTGCGAACCAGTGGATCAGCTTCTTGTCGCTTGCCAGCTTCACAATGAGCTCCTGCGTATGTTGTCCAGTCAAGCACAAACACTTCCTCGGGCTCCAGCAGGCTGCTTTTTGGCATCGGAGAGATTCCCGTTTGGACAATATATTGATGATGGAATGAGCAGGCTAGGTGCTGCCTACAGAGTCATCCGCCACTTTGCAGGCGCTTGGGTGAACCAGTTCCTCGAGCTTGTCGCCAGCTCCTTAGGAGAAAGCTCGCCTGGGCCGTCAAGTCCTGAGCAGCACACGTTCGTGAACCATATCCCGCTATTCGACACCTCGTCGGAGAGTGGGGACCAGCACGACGACGTGAAAGAGTCCAATGGCTTGGATAACGCCACTTGGCCGGATTCAGTCACGGAGAGGCTGTAATCACAAGAGTATCTTACTGGATACGAGGGCAGGCATCTTCAAGCTGACCTGCGCGGAGATGCGCGGTAGTGGGGGCCATGCTGTGCACAAGCAGGGATCCGCCCAGCACATGCATCAGCCAGGGTTCAGTCCTCCTGTTTTGGCGCAGTGCGCCGGCGTGGACGGTGAACGCCGCAATGATTAGCCGCTCGAGGACAGTAGTGTCACACACTACCAGGGCCAGTACGTTGACGTGGGAGGCATTGTCGAGAAGGCCGAGGTCTCGGTCCCCGGTGCGGCTGGCGCGAACCAGAAGAGCGAGGCCACCAATGGCTGTGACGATATCTCCGACGTGGACGCCATGGCGGCGGGCGGAGGAGGCGAAGACGCAGCCCGAGGGGGACAACCTCACAGTGAGCTTCACTTGGCAGCAGTATCAGCAGCAGCACCTGAGAAAACACGAAAAAAAGTGCTTGAACTGAAAGCGCATATAGAAGTGATGTTCAAGAAGCTTGCCAGCACGCAGGTTTCAGACTTCTCCGCTGTAGGCTCTAGAAGTATTGACAGAGGAGGGGTAAACAGGGAATGAGTAAGGAACACTTCTCTCTGTAGTTATCCCCCTTCCCACCGCCCTCCCCCGCCCAGCTATCCAGCAGTTTTGAGCAGCAGGCCGTGTTTAGAGCATTTTATGGGGGGGGGGCGGGGGCGGGGGAGTGGAGGGTGCTATGCGGCGGAGGAGGTGAACCGCCATTCCTAACTCCAACGCCTGTTGTCACGCAGCAGCCTGTAGGCAGTGGCCTGACGCCCGCCTGACGCTGCAACTGGTCCGCCCTGAGGCTCCGAGCTGAAGCTGAGCACAGCAGGTGGCCTAACAACGCCCTGCCCCCGCCCTCCTCGTAGGTCCCGTCTTCTACGCACCTTTTCAACATCAGCGAAGAATGCTTCATGCCACTCGCAAGCAGGGAATCTAGCATGCCACTTGCAGCTCGCGTGCTCTGTCGCTTGCCGTGTGGGGTAGTGGGTTGTAGGTACGAGGCGCGCGTGCGCGTGCGCGTGTGCGTGGTGCACGAGGAGGAACCAGGGGGAGCGCGCAGAGGCGAAAGCCCTAGCACTGACCCGCCAGTGGCGGGAGACTGGGCGAGCTGGTGAACACCGGGCCAGAGAGGCCAAGCTTCATGCTCTTAGGGGGGTGCCCACAGGAGCTTCAGGATTGGAAGGCTTCAGCAGACTCAGCAGGTTTGGGCATTCCCTGCATTGCCCTCCTCCGCCTGGCCGCGGACCGCGATGGAGGCGCAGCACGAGTTGGGTCGGGCCGTTCCTCCTGCTCTCTTCAGCATCGGAGAAGTAGGCGGCATGCCACTCGCAGCGGAATGTAGCATGCCACTCGCAGCTTGCATTCTCTGACGATGCGGTGTGGGGCGGTGAAATCTGGGACGGGTGTGGGGGCGTGGGGCCGCGAGGAGGAATCGAGGATATTGCGCAGTGGCGAAGGCCCTTGCGCTGACCCGCCAGTGGCGGGATCCTTGCGAGCTGGTAAGGCACCGGGCCCGCGAGGCCAAACCTCACGGTTTTAAAGGGGTGCCCGAAGGAACTTCAGGATTGAAAATACAATGGGGGCCCATGCTCAGAAACACTCTGCTTGCCTCCAGGGTGCCACGGGTTTCTTGGGTTTCGATGGTTTTGCGATAGGAAACATGACGTTTGCATATCGAAAAATCCATGGACGTCCTGGGGTCTCAGGGTTGGGTTTCTCGTGGAAGCTTTCTTGTGGTCGGGCCTCCGCCGTAAAGGGGAAGTTTGGTGGCGCCAGGTATGGGCCCTTCCCTTCTTGCCCCGCCGTGCCGCGCCAGTGGAGCACAGAACCACGGGAAATTGGGTTGGGCATGTCCGTCCCTCTCCCGTTCCTCACGTTCCCGTTTCCACTCTCCTTCCTGTTGTCCTTGGGCCCGGGCGGCTTGTGAGGTCCTCTGATGCGCTTCAAAGTTCGCCTGTTCTGATTATCGGGTTCTGTCTCGGCGGGTGGCGACGACAACGACGAGGACGACGGCGACGACGACCACCACGACAACCACAACGATCACGAGGGCAACAACCACTATGACAATGACGACGACGAAGACGGTGACGACGACGACGACGACGACGCTGACCAGGGCCACGACGACGACGACGACGACGATGACGACGACGACCAGGGCTCGCGGCCCGGTCCCTGCAGGTTTCCGTGCGCCTCGTGGGCGACGCTTGCCCCTGCTGGGAGCACGAGCAGCCGCAGGCAGGTTTTTTTTGGGGGGCTGAGGAAGAGGAGGAGGAGGAGGAGGAGGAGGAGGAGGAGGAGGAGGAGGAGGAGGAGGAGGAGGAGGAGGAGGAGGAGGAGGAGGAGGAGAGGAGGAGGAGGAAGTGGAAGTGGAGGAGGAGGAGGAAGGAGGAGGAGGAGGAGGAGAGGTGGAGGAGGAGGAGGAGGAGGAGGAGGAGGAATGTCTGGGCCGCGCGGGGGTGTCGTCGGTTCGAACACGCAGCGTCCTGAAAACATCGGGGCGGAGGTGTTTCTCAATCCTCGGCCTCGGGCGACCTTTCCCGGGCCCTGGCGCCGTCAAGAGACGACTCCCGATGAGACGCCGTCCCCGGGGAAGTTGTTGGGACTTCCAGGGGGGCCCGCATTGAAAAAAATTAGGACGTCGCATGTCTGGGAACCAAGACCCCCGACGGCATAATTTTTTCATTGCGTCGACCCCTGTAGGTCTCGACCCATTCCCCTGGACCGGCTTCTCATCCTGAGTCGTTTTCTGACGGCCCCGAGGGCCGGTAAGGGCCCCCAGAGGCCGAAAGCAGTAAAGAGCCTCCCGCCAGGGTTTTGTCAGCGCCCGAGGGGGTCCAGGAGACGTCTGGGCCTCGTAATGTTTTCGTCGGCTCTCGGTGGTCTGCCTGCCTCGGGCTGCTCTCCAGAGCGGCCGCGCCTCGTGCCTAGATCGCCGCGGATGGTCCCCGGGGAGCCGAGTGCTGACCCGCAGGGGAGCCTGACGAGGAAAAGGTACCGCTACCCTACCCTTGCCTCGTTTCCTAGGGGCCCAAGCAGTGACATAAACATAAAAGCTCGGAGGTCCGCGCGGAGTTCTCGGATCGGCGCTGGGGCCCCCCGTTTCGGCGCCTCTGGCGCCGCCCCTGGCCGCGCTCCGCGCGCCAGGGAGGGGGTTCCAGCGCCGATCCCAGAAATCCGCGCGGACCTCCGAGTTCTTATGTTTATGTCACTTGTTGGTCCCCTATTTTCACCTTTGTGGGCCTCCTCGGAGGCCCTCGCCACCACGGCTGGATTCGTCCCGAAGTTTGAGTCAGGACGCACCTCGGGAGAGGTCCGGGGAGCAGCGACGTCGGTACTTCTTGGTTTGCCCAACTTAGACTTCGATTTGATCGATCCGATTCTGGCCAGCCCGAGCCGATTCGGCTCTGGCCGGCCCGAGCCGATTCGATTCGGATTTTCGTGCGATGCGACGCGTCCCGATGCTGCGGGGCGCTGTGGTGCCTCTTGGCGCCGCCGATCCGCTTCGATTCAAACTCCGTGCCGATTTGGTCTGATTCCACGAACGTTTCGATCCGATCCTATTTCCGATTCGACGCTGACTGCTCTTGCCTGGCCACAGGGGACGTTCACGGTCGTGGCGGGCATCACTTTCGACGCTCTGAACCTCGACCGCAGCTTGGACAGGCCAGGTGCTGCCAGAAGCTCCGGAGGGGGAACACGGAGTGCCGATGCCTCCTGGGAGAGTCGTCGCCGCCACGGCTGGATTCGCCCTGGAATCCTACTCAGAATACATTCTGGGAGATTTTTTTAGAACAAAACAATTTGAAAAGATTAATTTTTCATGGGTCGGTAATTTTTTAGAAAAAAGTCACGACGGGAGTCGTTGGCCGTTTTCGGCGCGGGCCCTCGCTGGGCCCAGGAGGCCGTCCAACAAGCGCCTCTGGACGAGACACGGGCCTTGGGGGTGTCAGGAGTTCTGGGGACCCCGTATAGGCAAGCATCTAGACTAGACGTCGGATGCCGAGGGCCCAAGGAGGTTTCCCCAGCTTTCGGCACACCAATTATCTCGGAGCCCCTGGGGCCCACCTTGGCCTCGCGAGGGGTGCCCCTGGGGGTGCGGAGGCCTCCTTGGGGATTGTTCCTCCTCCTGCTCCTCCTCCTCCTCCTCCTCCTCCTCCTCCTCCTACTCCCGGGGGTACTTCTGGCAGTGCCCGAGCAGGGGCCCGAGTGCGGAAGACGTCGAGGCGGCGGCGCGCTTCAGGAGCCTGTGGGGGCCCGAGAAGGCGGAGCTGAGGCGCTTCAAGGACGGCGGCGTTCTCGCCTCCGGAGCGTTTTCTTGCGCGGCGTTTTGGCAGTGGGCGGAGGGGGGGAGGGGCGGGGGTGTCTGGCTCCAGACCTCTGCTGAATGCGACTGTCTGCAACAGTGCGCCCTGTGGGGGAGACTCCACCCGCTTGAAGCAGGAGCCAACAGCAGCCAAGATCTGCTCTCTGCTCCAGGGGGGGTGATCAGGAGGAGCGAGGGCCCGCGCCGATCGGCAATACAATCATCCTCCCTTGGCTTCGTTTGTGTGCTCTGTTCGGTCTGGCGCATCCCGTCCCCGCAGCATGTTGTTGGCTACGAGGGGGGGGCTGCTCTGCGCAGCGAGGTCGAAGCACCCCTAAGGCGTGCGCTCGTAGAGCGAGTGTAGTACTCGAGTAGGAGACCTCCTAAATTATCGATTTACCTCAAAATTTACATGTTCGTCGAACCTACGAACAAGATGGTTGTCGAATCTACGGGCATTATACGCAGTCGTTGTCGATTCGACGAGGAAAACAAACCTGGGGTAAACCAAGCCTGTAGTCGATCTCCTGCTCGGAGCACGTATCCTAATTCGTTTCCCGCGTGTTTCAAGCTGCCTTGTGGGCCGTTGGTGAGGCGGTTACGCACCCTCCTCCTCCTCGCCCTCCTCCATACTCTCAGGTGGGAAAAAACACACAGACACAATTAATGGTCGATTCCTAACAAAATATAGGAAAATATTGGAAGTGGGGGGGAAGACAAAAACCCAGAACATGTGGGAAAATATGGGGAATCCTGTTGTTTGTGTGTATTTATGTGTGTGTCCCCGCCCTCCTCCGTTTCTTCCCCCCACCCTAGACAGAGGACGGCAGCATCCTCGAGTGCGCGGTGTGGGCGAAGCCGCCCGCGGACCGGGCCGTCGACTCCAAGAAGCACCCCGCGGTCGTGACGCAGATCCTCCGGCACCTGCTGAGCAGGCGCTCGAAGAACAAAGCGCGCCATAATCATAACAACTTTTTGCGTTTTCTCTTCCTCTACTCGCCGAGCGCGTTCCACTGCTCGCAGAGTGCCTACTCGCACACGTCCGAAAAACGCATGCCTGCTTCGATGTCATTTGTCGTGGATCCCCCGCGGCGGATCCAGGCCATTTGCGAGCAGTCACTTTGCAAGTCGTGGAACGCGCTCGTCTCATAAACATAAACTTGTGGCGTTTCCTCGTCCTCTACAGTCGGGGCCCTGAAGAAGGAACGCTTCTCGTTGGGGAGGGGCTCGGTGTTCCTTGATTGTTTTACAGTTTGCCTCGGGTTTCCCTGAGGCTTCTGTATGGGAAATCGAAGTTTAATTTATGGAAAAGGGGGGCCTCGTTCCTATTCAGGGTTCCTTAGGTCAACGCCCCGACTGTACGGGGGCTTCGCGTCGTGCCGACGTGGCGGCGACCCCGCCGCGGGCGTTCCAGGCGGAGCGCCGCCAGTGGCCCGGAATCGGCCTACGTGGAACGATCGGGCGAGCGGAGAGCCGCCGATCGCTCCAGGCTGAGGCAGGAGGGAAAGAAACACACAGACACAATGAATCGTCGACTCCCCGGAAAATGTGGGAGGGTATGGGAAGTGGGGGGGAAGACGAAAGCCCAGAAAATACGTGAAAGTATGGGGAATCCATGTATTTGTGTGTATTTATTTGCGTGTCCTGGGGCCCCTTCATGGAGCGATCGACGCGGTGTCAGAAACCAACGCCAGGGTCGCCACGACACGCACCCGCCGCAGGCACTTCGGCGAGATCGCCGAGCGCACGGAGGTCCTGTCCGGGCCCGTGGGCTTCGTCCCCAACCTCGGCGAGCGGGGGCGGCGCCTCTGGGCCGCCCTCGAGGCCTTCCGCACGCACGCGTGCCAGCTCAGCTCCCTGCCCATGACCATCAAGGACCCCGGCGGGGGGAACACACCGGGCACGAGGAGTCGTGGATTCCGAGGAAAACAGGGGAAATCTGGGAAGTGGGGGGGGAAAGCGAAAAGCTAGAACAGATGGGAAAAGATGGGGGGTCCTGGGATTTGAGAATTATATGTATGCATGTATGCATGCATGCATGTATGCATGTATGCAGACAGGCCGGCAGGCAGGCAGGCAGGCAGGTATGTAAGATGTAAGTATGCATGTATGTATGCATGTAGGTAGGTATGTACGTGTGTGTGTGTGTCTCTGTCTGTCTGTATGTCTGTCTGTCTGCCTGCCTGCCTGTCTGTCTGTCTGTCTGTCTGCCTGTATGTCTGTGTGTATGTATGTACGTATGTCTGTCTGTCTGTCTGTCTGTCTGTCTGTCTGTCTGTCTGTCTGTATGTGTGTATGTCTGTCTGTCTGTCTGTCTGTCTGTCTGTCTGTCTGTCTGTCTGTCTGTCTGTCTGTCTGTCTGTCTGTATGTATGTATGTATGTATGTATGTATGTATGTGTGTGTATGTATGTATGTATGTATGTATGTATGTATGTACGTAGACATCTAGGTATGTAGGTTTGTAGATATGTATATATGCAGATATGTAGGTATGTATGTATGCCTGTCTGTAATTATGTATGCATGCATGCATACATGCATGTATGCATGCATGGATGTATGGATGGATGGGTGGGTGGATCGATGGATGGATGGATGGGTGTATGGATGAACGTATGTATGTGTGTATGTATGTATGTATGTATGTATGTAAGTATGTATGCATGTCCGTCTGTCCGTCCGTCTGTCTGTCTGTCTGTCTGTCTGTCTGTCTGTATGTATGTATGTATGTATGTATGTATGTAGGTATGTATGTAGGTATGTATGCACGTAAGGCTCTTGGGCCCTTTGAGGACGTCCACCCCGTCAGCGAGGCGTTCAGCTACACCGACATTGCGACGGAGGAGGCTCGAAGAGAAGAGCAAGCTGCAGTGAGGCATGCCTGCGCTTTCGGAGCTCCGCGCAGATTGCTGGGATCGGCGCTGGCTCCGAAACCCCCTCCTCTGGCGCGCGGAGCGCGCCGGGGGCGGCGCGCGGAGGCGCCGCTGGGGGGCTCCCACCGTCGATCGAAGGAGTCTGCGTGGAGCCCCGAGAGCGTATGAGTCTGTCTTTAGGCTCTTGCTTCTTCCTCTCGAGGCCCCCGTGGCGGAGGACGGCGTCACCCGCGAGTTGCACGGCGCGGTCGTCGAGTTCGAGGCTTCGGGCCGCTGGCCCCGGGACCCGGTCGCGTGCCGCAAGGTGTCCGCCGCGCTGCTGGTGCAGGCGCGGGAGGAGCTGCTCTCCGACCTCGGCATCGAGTCGGAGGTCGGCGAGGACTTCCTCGACGTGCGTTACCCCGAGGTGGCGTTCCGCGTGCGGGTGTTCCACCCGCACGAGCTCGGGGACGTGGCACTCTAGAGGAGGAAGAGAAACCGATGCCGCTGCTAGCCCGAGGAGAGCCCTCGTCGCCACGGCTGTGCTCCCCGAGGAAATAATGGTCGGAAACGCCCCACGGGAGAGAGCCGGGGAGCAGCGGCATCCTGTGCTCTTTTGGCCCCTTTCAGGCACAGCGGGTGACCAGCTTCCAGGCCCCGACAGGCGGGTCGGCTGCGCCCCCTGCTGCCGACCTGGCGCGGCTGCGCGACCTGTGGTGGCGGCCGAGGATACGCAACGCGCTGCACTCCCACGCCCTGAGGCAACCCGCGCTGGCTGGCGCGGCGCGCCTTTGTAAGAGGTGGATGGCGTCCCAGATGCTCTCGGGTTATGACGAGTTCGTCGAGCACCTCGTCGCGCACGTCTTTCTGCACCCCGCACCGTTTGACAGCCCCACGAGCCCACAGGTCGGCTTCTGCCGATTTTGCTCGCTGCTCGACGCCCACGACTGGCAGCACGAGCCGCTCATACTCGACTTCGACGGCAGGTTCTCGGAGGAGGAGGAGCGCATGAGCTTGAGGCGGTCCTTCGAGCGCAGCCGGTCGGAGTCGGAGCGGACCACGTATTTCTGGGTCTCCTCGCGGTTCGACCCGCACGCCATGCTGCTGCCTGCCCCGCCGGCGACGGTGGGCGCGTGGCTGCAGCAGCGGGCGCGGCACGCGCTGGGCTTCTTCGGCAGGAAGCTGATCGGGGACGCCCCAGCCGGCTCGAAGGGCTGGCAGCCGATGTTCGCGCTGGACACCGGGGTCTGCGGGCCCAGACCCCCGACGTCATGATTCTTGTTATGGCGTCGACCCCTGGAGGTCTCGATCCGTTCCCCTGGACCGGTTTCTCGTCCCGAGTCGTGTTTTGACGGTCCCGAGGGCTCGCAGGGGCCTCCCGAGGCCGAAAATAGCCAAAAACCTTTTCGCCCTGATTTTTCCACTGCCCGAGCTCGGTCAGAGCCTCGAATTATCAGGGGTAACTCGGGTCAGGGATAACTCGGGTTCGTTTTTCGGGAATCCAAACCCGAGTTACCCCGGACCCGAGTTACCCCGGATAACTCGGGCGTCCAGAGCCCCGAATCATCAGGGGTAACTCGGGTCAGGGATAACTCGGGTTCCTTTTTCGGGAATCCAAACCCGAGTTACCCCGGACCCGAGTTACCCCGGATAACTCGGGCGCCCAGCTCGGTGTCTGTGGGCGGGGAGACCTCCGAGGAGGAGCACCCGCCGACACCGCTGCCCTCTCCTCGGCGCCACGGCCGGAGGCGCCTGGAGGTACAATTAGCGTGGTCCGAGCGAAGGATTGCAACAAAAATCCTTGGTTTTTGTTGCAATCCTTCGTCGAAGGAGCGAAGGTTTTTGTTGCAATCCTTGGTTTCTGTTGCAATCCTTCGGTTTTTGTTGCAGTCCTTCGTTTTGGTTTTTGTTGCAATCCTTCGGTTTTTGTTGCAATCCTTCGGTTTTTGTTGCAATCCTTCGGTTTTTGATGCAATCCTTCGCTCCGGGAGAGGCCTGCGGGGCAGCGCGGCGTCGCTGCCTCTGTGTGGCCCCTCCGGAGCTGTGCGCCCACGCCCACCCCGAGCGGGTCCTTCCCGGTTCAGGAGGGAAAGAAACACAGAGACACAATTCATCGTCGGCTCCCCAGAAAATATGGGAAAATATGGGAAGTGGTGGGGAAGACAAACACCCAGAAAAAATATGGGAAAAGATTGGGAATCCGTTCATTCGTGTGTATTTATTTGTGTGCCCCAGGGCCCCTTCATTGGTCTTCGGATGCAGCTCCTGGGAGGTCAAGTTCTGTTTCTGCCCTGGTCCGAAATCTGGCTTACTCCGGCCTAAGCCGACTCAATCCCGCTGAATCCGGCTTAAACCTCCTTGATCCCGCTTATAAGGCTTAATCCGGCTTAATCCGAGGCGCACTCCGGCATAGCAGCCCCCCCAATGGGGCTTAATCCTCTTTAAATGTAATTTTTTCCGACGAAAGCCTCTCAGTAGTTGCCTCCTAATTGGTCCCAGGAGCGGTGCGCAGGCCTCCCTGGCCAAGCCCGGAGGGCGTGTGCACCGATCCTGGGGCCCAGGCGGGGCCTGGGGACGGGATGGTTGGCGCATGTGCGCAGGTCTCTCCCGAGACGTGCGATGTCGTGAATTTTTTTGGGGTGCTCCAAATCCCTTATTAATCGACCTCCCCCCCTGAAAAACTGGATCCCCCTCCAAATGCGACCCAATGTTCCCGACCCCAGACCCCCCGCTCAGCAAAAGAACATCACCGTTGCGGGCGCACCAGAGGAGTTGTTGACACCGGGGCCGACGCATTTGGGACGCAATGTATTGTTTAGGTTTCGCGGAGGGCCGTTCTCAGTCGTCCTCGTCCTCGTCGTCCTTCTCCTCATCCTCTTTCTCCTCTTCCTCCTCCTCCTCCTCCTCCTGCTCCTCGTCCCCCTCCTCCTCCTCCTCCTCCTCCTCCTCCTCCTCCTCCTCCTCCTCCTCCTCCTACCCAGGTCTTCGACGTCGTGCTCCGCCTGCTGCCCCGCGGCCGCCCCAGTGGCGGCGGCAAGAAGGGCGGCCTAGCGAGTCGCAGGGCGCGGGCGGAGGGGCCGGCGCTGCGAGGCTTCGTCGAGAAGGTTCGGGCCTCGAGAGACGGGGGTCAAGGCAAACGGGGGTCAGTCAGAGCGCCGGATCTTGCAGGATCCTGCAGGTCCAGATGCGCACTGGCCTGGGCTTGGGCGCAGGATCCACTGCAGGATCCTGCGCAGGATCTTGCAGGATCCTGCAAGGCCTGACTGACCCGGGCTTGACTCGACCCGGGTCAGCGGATCCCCGGAGGTCCGCGCGAACCTCTCGCCCGCGTGCCTGGTGTTCTACGACGCCGAGGGCAGGACCTTTCTCCACCCACCAAACCACCCCAACCCAACCCGAAGGGTCGGATTTACCCTCGATTTCTAGTGGGGGGGGGTCCGGGAACGTCGAAAAAACACATATGGAGCCCATACCCCCCCCCCAACCCGAAATTCGGGTCTTCGGGTTGGGTTGGGGTGGTCTGGTAGGTAGTCAACCTTGGGCTTCCAGGCGACGTATCCAGCAAAAGTCGGGGCTCCGTTTGGTTTATTCCTTTTCATTCGTTGACATAGCATGGTCGGCCTTGCAGGGGCCCGCCCCGGGCCCCGGGGCCGTGAGAACACGACTCGCGGTGAGAAGTTGGCCCCGGGGGAGCTGGTCGGGACTTCCGGGGGCCCCGTCTTGGAAACGTCAGGACGTCGCATGCATATTTCCCGTTTTTTGTGGAACGTCTGGGCCTCGCAAGCTTTCCGAGGTGTTGGTCGGTTCGTGGCGGTCCTCCAACCTCGCCGTTCTTCCCAGCGGCTGCGCCTCGCCGAGAGAGTTCCAGGCGTGCCCGCTTCGTCACGATCGGTTGCCAGGGAGCCGAGTTATGACCCGAAAACCAGCTGAGCCAGAGGAGGACAAGGTACTGATGACTACCACTACCCTTGCCTCGCTGTCGCCTCTTCGGGCCTCCTCAGAGGCCCTCTTCGCTACGGCTGGCTGGATTCGCCCCAAAATTCTGGTCAGGACGCACCTCGGCGGAGGTCTGGGGAGTAGCGGCATCGCTTTTTTGGCTACTCTACGCATGGGTCCAAGCAGGTGGGGTCGGAGGATTGCGCCGCGTCGCCGGTGCATCGGTGATGCGGCTCGATGTGGAGACGATTCTCTCCACGCCGATGGCGCCGATGCACTCGCTCTGTGACGCGGCTTTCCGACTCCATCTGCACGGACCCCATTGGGGAGGCCTCCAAGGATGGCGGCCGTCAAGTGGCGTCCCGGCGCGTTCTTTCCCCAGCACCAGAACGTGTTGATGGGAGCTGTCCCGCACACGCTGATCAGTCAGAAGGACCGGCCGGTCTTGTGCGTTCCGAACGTCTTGTACCTGACGTCGGTGATCGCCTCCCTCGCTGAGGGGCTCGCAGTGGATCTGACGCTCGTTGCCACGCAGAGCAGAACCCCGTGAGAAAGAACGGATGTTGCCCGCGGCTTTGTGCCGCCCTGGGTCTGGTCGACCGCCGTCGCGGCTTCGGCTTTCTGTCGCAGCTGGCTTCGGCCTCGCCGCTGTTTTTTCTTGTTGCTGTTGCTGTTGTTGTTGCTGTTATTGTTGAACATTATTTATTCTAAAGAATAATTATTGTTGGGACCCCTGGTGCGCGGCCCCCTCGCCGCGCCTAGGCCGCAGCCACATTTTCATCATTTTCGTGAGGAAGTCTCAGGCAAAACGTGGGTGTCCGGATCCGGTTGTTTTGTTGTCCCCCGTTTTCCCTTGCAAAAAATAAGCTAAAGTGGACATTTCTTGTTCTAACATAGCCAAACTTCAAGAATCCCTTGCAAAAAATAAGTTAAAGTGAACATTCGCGCGCGCAAGACGAAATCCTTCCAAAACCTTAGTGTTCGTAGCGATTTCAACATAAAACCATCAAAAAAACAATGGTT